AAATAAATGGGGATGATGAGATTTGAACTCGTGACTGTTTGGTCATTTAAGCTCTGATACCATGTCAAAGAACCATCTCACCTAAAAGCTTAAGCTTTTAATTAAGATCCTAAGATATAATTTATATTATTCTCTAATATAATATTTGGCAATATTTGAGGATTTCTTTAAGGTATGGTGGTGAAAATGTAGTTTTACCAATTGTTCTGAAATTCAGTGAAATCATACATCTCTTTACCTTTGTTTTTGCCTTGCAGTTTTGCTTCTAGGAATGACATGCTGGAAGCTTGTGATTCTCGAAATCTTGATGCTCTACAGAAGGAGTTCCCACTATAATATAATTATTGGTCTCTGTACTGAATGAATAAAGGATCATTGAGACAACGGCAGGATTCTACAGCCTCCTGTTTGTGAAATTAAAATCTTCAAACACTTGTGGGAATGGGATGATGTGTGGTGCTTGTGACTCCTTGCATCAGTGCATTTGGAGCTCTTGCTGAAGGGTATCTTGATTTCTTATGAAGCAGGAAAATCAAGCATGGTTTATTGGAGCTAACTCAAACAGAAACTTATGAAGTTTGAAACCCTGTACCTGGGTTTAACTCGTGATTCTTAAGCACCAGGAATAGTTAATTACGAAGCAGTGCCCGAGGGGAGATAAAGGAAAGGGAAGTTGCCCCATTTCATAACTATTGGGATGAAATTGTAGGAAGGGACAAATCGAAAGTGGATGTGATTCTGTTGTGAATAATTTACTTCAATATTTCTTCTTACCTGTTCAATATTTCCATTTGTCTGGGTTAGAGGTATGGAAACGTGAAGATAAGGTACATGCTTAATTATAGCTGTGCATTTAAAATTGTAAAATCAAAGCAAAGGATATCGATGCTGAGCGGGCAGGCAGGCAGGGAGGCAAAAGTGTGCCTGATTACCGATATAATGAAGCACTGGTCTGGTCAAGAATCCAGCTCTGTGGCCGGTCATGCTTGCAGCTCGTGGTTTTGTGATTTCATATTTTGAAGAGGACATTGCACAAATTTCAGTCACAAAAATAAAAAATAAAATGAATATTGATAAATAAATTTGATATAATTAACAATTAAATTTTTGTAAGGAATAAAAAGTAAATGAAAATAGTTAAAAATATTTCAGATATATATAAAGAGTTAACATCAGCATATGGAAAAATAATATATGTAGTTTTATTACCTTGGCAAAAATAAAGAAGAGTGATAAGTTAAAATTATGTTTACCGGTTCAAATATATTCAATTAAAAGAAAGGTACGGAAATAAAACTCAGTAGCGTAATGTGCTTCCACTAGATAAAATATTATCTATGATATATAATTAGCAAGTTTGCTTAACTATAACTATGCCATCACAATGTACGATGGCCTGCTTTATCAGGAAACGACTGGGCCAGAAAGTAATCAACAAATTAAGAAGTAAATATTGCCCTTGTTAATTAAGTCTATAACAAGAGCGATCATGCTGACTTAAACCAGCATTTTATTATGAAATTATATATATATAAAAGAATGCACTCCCATGTGTCATCATATATTCATATATCCTATCATATATTAAAAATGTCTTCCAAAGAATGAAGAGAAATTTTTTTTTTTAAATTGAAAAACCAAGAAACTAAAAAGATAAAAAAAATAATCTCCAAAAAAAAAAACTGAAATAACCCATAAAAATATATAAAAAGAACAAGCCAATGTAAAATTTAAAAACTTCATGCCCTACAAATAATGGACATTTTTTTATATAAATATTTACATGGATTGACTTTGATTATTTATTTTTTTGAGTATCATTACGATATGTTAAACTTTTGAGTTTGAAAAGCTCATTTGGCTCTTTTATTTGCATCATTATGAAACTATGTATGCACTTGATCACAAGGATTCAGTATGGAATATTTTTCATGGATTGACTTTGATTTTTTTATTTTTATTTTTTATGAAAGGCATTCTTGATGATATAAATTAGATAAAAACATCATTATCTTCATGACACAATGATATCAAAAACTAAGAAGGTAATAAATTGCAACCTATAAAGTCTGAAAAATTAAATCTTGTACTAATAATCAAGAACAACCTTTCAAGTAATAAATAATGGACATTTACACGAGCTCACTGGAATCTCATGACGAGGATAGGAAGTTTTCTAATTATGCATGCACACGGTCAAGCATAGTATCATTATATGTTAATAGAAGAGCAAGCCCGTTGATGAAAGATTTCAACCATTCTAAATTAATGTCAAGGAATGTCGATACCAATCAATTAACAAGAGAGACAATTACCGTAGGGATACCAAAATCTTATTTCAAAAACTAAACATACTTATTAGAAATTTCATAAAAAGAAATTGAATCTACATGTGAACTAACATCTTAAAATGAAAAAAAAAAGGAAAGGAAAAGGAAAACAAAATGAATGAGGATTATTAACCACCGACAATTTAATATATAGTGCATGCATAGCGCAGATTGATTACGCTACTTTTAATAACACAAATTGTTACATTTTTGTTGATAGCATAACTTTTCATTCAATACGGGAACACTTTGAAATGTGTTATTTCCTTTTTTAATTACTGAGTCAATTTATATATATATAAAATCTCTAGTAAGTGGCTTTGAATGATACAAACTTAATGCATCCACGTGTGGGGCGGGTAAGAGAGCATCGATAGTCTTGTATGTATCAAATGACAAATATGTTAGTGATGGATGGAAATGATGGAAATAGGAAAAGCAGATGCCAACAGCAGCAGGAGGTTATGCCTGAATCAGATGGAAAGCTATACATATATCTGAATGGATTATATGTAGATTGGATAATTTGATCCTGTCTATCATTATTCATGGTTTGCAATGCCATGCGTGCACGAACCCTAGCTAGCCCTAGGTAAGCCTTTAGTGGCAGTCTCTTAACTTGAACACGCAAACTAAAAACTTTGCTTTTGCTTTTGCTTTTGCTATGCTATGCTTGTGACCTTCGTATCAGTGTCAGCTATCAAAGTGGAACTAGCTACTAAAACCCCTTATTGTGGCATTTTCTACCCTCTACTACCAAGTCACAACACTTTCCTTCCTTGCATCATTCGATGCCAATTGCCATGCATGTCAAGATAGATTTATATACACACATATATATAGCATCATAAGAGATATTACATATTAAAAGCCAAGCATATATACGTAAATCAATAAATTTTATGGTATATGTATAAATGGGGTAAATTCGTAGTACACTACTACTAGTTTATATATCTTCTATACTATATATATAATACCAGCTTTTCTTTTTTTAATGTTGTACTAACAAGCTGAGACGAGAGAGAGAGACATACTGATGGCCACTTAATTTCCTTTTACCATAATGCCTAAATGATATATATATATATATATATATATGTATGTATGTATGTATGTATGTATGTATATTTATATGTATGTATGTATATTGTTAATTACACCATTAATTTGTCGGCACCACAAGTGGTTTCTCCCACCAACAAATTACACCATTAATTTGTCGGTGAAACGAATTGATGGTGGGAAAGGTATTAGGCGCATCATGTCGATCAAATTAAAGAGAATCAATACTACGTACTGGAATATGGAAGTGGTTGTTAATGAGAAATTAATTACTTGAAGAAAAAAAAGAAAAGTACAGGACACGAGAGAGATCGATACCAGGCGGGAGGGTTTTGATCATAAATATGTGGTTGCATGGTCTTAGAGGAGGCAAGAAAAGGTTTACTTTGGCAAGTTCGATGGTTATGTTGTTTAGGGGACAAAGGACAGATATTAGGGTAAGTAAGGGTTCAGATATGAAAGACAGTAATAGGCATATACGGGTACTTATTGAGGAAAACAAGAAGGAAACCTACCTAGCTAGCTCATGTATATGATTTTGCGCCCCCTTTTTAAACCACAGCTTTAAAAAGAAAACAAACAAACAAACAAGGGGATTCTGGGGAGCAACATTGGGCTCTCATGTCCCTCTTCCTTTCCTTAATTAATTAATGGTAAGAGAGAAGATATAATTAAGTGTACTAAGCATCATAAATTAGTTAAAATAAAAAACACAGTACTCTTAAATTAATTAATTAGTATATTTAAAGCAATCAAAAGTGAAGCTAGCATGCATTATTATCATTAAAAGAGAAAAGAAAGAAAGAAAACCAGCCCCCCAATATTGCACAGACTAATTAATTAACAGACAAATAAAACACTCTTTAATTTGCTAAGAAGAAGAGAAGATGCTGCAATATATATGCTTTCAGACCGGTTAATTAATTTTTCAGCAGAAACTAATTGTCGTCTTCCTCAATACATATAATACTCATGTTATGATGCCGATCGAAAATATTTAATTAACTGATTCAACTGAATTAATTCGTTAAATAGCGAAGAAAGTAAAAGGATACTAGCTCCCACCTAGAAAAATAATCACCACTACTAAATGAATGTAGTGATGTATATATGAAGAGGTATTGAGAAAAAATTAAAGAGAGAACTCATATGTCAACTACCGCATCCCACTAACCATAGAGAATAGGGAGTAATTAAACATATACATAAATGATAAACTACATGATCAATTCATTAATTTAAGCTCCCCAAAAAAGAACCGATCGGTCAAAGCTTGTCTTGAACATATACGTTCAGTACTGAAGCTAGCTAGCGAAGGAGACGGGGGGCATAATATTGGCCTTCCGGTGGCCGTTTATCAAGCTATCGATCTAGAGACTCAAGATAGGTGCTATTTTGCATTGCATGCACACATATAACCACCATCACATCTACATGTTTATATATATATATATATATATATATATGTATATTGGAATAGGCATTAATACATACATATATTATAATTACGATAATGGAACTTCGTTGTGGGGGTACTGGGTAACAAAAAGAGAAACCCACATTAAAAAGATAAACATATAATAACTTAATTAACAAATCAAACAAGGTCATGTAATGGCAAGAAGGTAGCAGAGGAAGGAACTAACTACTAACGTTCATTAATTATATTCTTTAGTGGGATGGAGCGGTTGAGGTGTTAAGTTAGTTGGCTAGCTAGCTCTTACATTTAAAAATTAATTAGAAGAAGGGCAATCAATTCAGGTAGCTAGCTAGTGCCATGAAGAGACAGAGAAGAGAGAATGATTTTGCCAACCCAAGAAGAAAGAATTGTTGACAATCTGAAGCTGATAGCCCTTAGAAGGATAATGGAGCCTTAGTAACAGTTTGGCCTGTGAAAGTGCAAAGGGACTCAATGGAACGTTGCTAAACCCTGAACTCTTTAGCATCATTTCCCATGTCTCGAACCTCAGGTGCCTTTCTCTTCTTCGCTCTCCCTCTGCTGCTACGATGTCCATTATCTCTCTCCCAAACCATATCTGCTCAACTGCAAGTCTCTCCTTGCTGTTTGGTGGTAGGGTTGCCTCTAGGGAGTCGAAGAGAGCTGTATAGTGATCCAGGGCCTCCAGGAACCTCTGCAAGAAGAGAAGGTGGTTGTGGTTGGCTTCCCTTTCAGCAACCGTCACCACATTGGGGTTCAAGGCCTTGATTTTATGGAGTAAAAGGAGCAGTTCACGAGAATCATCCATAAGGAAGCGGTGAAGACACAACACGCAGTTCACCGCTAGGGCTTCATCTGGGAGAAGAGTAATTGCTGAGGGGAGATAGAGGGCAAGAGAGGCAGGGTCATTGTTGAGAAGAAGAAGAGGATGGAATTGGAACCTGAGGCCCAAGGAGTGGGCAAATTTCAAAAGGCGATCCTCAGTCCTGTGGAGGATGCTCAAATCATGACCAGTCCCTGTGATCCGAAGCATAGGAGGAGGATGAAGAGTGTTGTTAGATCGGTCGGCCAAAGCTTGCATCAATGGAGGCCATTGCACCCCATGCATAATATCAAAATCTATGATGTGAATGGCTTGCTGCCCTACTTGTATGGCTTCCAAGATAGCCTGATTGGCAGTTAGATGGCTGAATCTTATGAATGGGGTGATCTGATTCAAAGACAAATAGCAAGACTGAAGAGTGTCCTGATCCATCGACTCATAGCTGATCACCATCCTCTTGTTATTATTAGTATTAGTAGTAGTACAAGGAGAAGGAGGAGGAGGAGGAGGAGCTATGCTGTTCATATTGGAAACAAGAGGAGCAGTAGTAGTACTCCTAGCGGGATTGGCATGGCGATTAAGGCGGAGAGAGAGGGCTCGAACAAATTGATGAACCAACCTCTCAGTGGAGTCACCATTAGGAGAAGAGTTGTAGGTGGACAAAAGATGGGAGAGAAGGCGTTGAGCGGCGGAGAAGTCAGATTGAGAAATGAGATCTGCGCAACTGACTAGCAACTGACGCGTATGGAATGCTGTTGTTGGTGTCGGTGGATTAATCTCTTCTTCTTGATCTTGTTCCTGATGATCATGGGAATTAGGTGAACTCATCAGCAACTGCTGTGAATGTGACGACTGTGACCGTGAGCCAAACAGACAGGCACACACACACTAGATGTTTCGGTCATGATATATATATCACACACTAGATGTTGCGGTCATGATATATATATATGGGTCAGAATAAAGGAGAAATTAGCGTCAGAATTAATGAGAAATTAGCGGCAATTGCTTACTTGGATTAATGGGGATATTCCACGAGGATGATAACTCTCTACATAGCTACCTAGCCTAAGCTGGTCAATTCTCTCTCTCTCTCTCGTTGATATAAAAAATTATGAAGATTCGTTAATTTATGGTGTGTATAAATTGGGTTAAATATCCATATTAATCTAAAAAAAATAAAAAAATCTATGAAGATAAAATTAAAAACCTAACTAGCTCCGTATGGAGAAATATAAGAAGCAAATATTTGGGTCAGAATTATGAAGGGTATGCTAAATGCCAGGGCCACTGCCAGCAGGGGCTTGCATTTCTTAATTTAAGACATATGATCAGCTACGTTCAGGGAAGAAAGTAATTAGTACTGTTACTACAAGCTAAGCTTAGCCAGTCATATATAGTTATCAATACAGTGCTATCTTATATGTTAGAAATTCAACATCACTTCAGAATTTATCACAAATGACCGACTTCGATCGTGTATGTTGTCACGGACCAGAGCCACCTAATAATTTACGGGCAAGAATTATTTGTTGTGGATACTTGATGCTGAATTCACCTGGATGACATGCGTGTTGGAGACAATGAAAGATGATAACGAAGCATCCAGTAAAAACAAGGTAAAAATCCTGATTTTCTGGTGCCGTCATCTTCATGAGGAGTTAAAGGTAGACTATATCATAATCAAATCAAAGATTCTCTTATTTTTTAGCAATATTTAAAAGAAAAATATGACCAAAATAATTATTCTCTTATAATTGGATAGCAAGATAATAATATCAATGATAATATATTAAAAAAATATTTTTTATTTTTCATACCTCAAATATGTTTCTACAGCAGCAATATAGAAAAAGAGATTTTAAAAAAATATTCTAAATTTATTTCATGTTTTTTATGGTTGAACAAAATAATAAGAGATAATTATGAATTATGACCAACTAGTTTAACTTCATTCCTTGAAGTGAATACTATGAAATATAATAATAATTATGATTCTAGTCGTACTAGAAACCAAGTCTTTGGTCATGGAAAAAGAAGGTTTAATTACCGCAACTATAATGATTATAATTCATTAAATTCTCACAAACCACCCATAAAAACAAAAAAGGGGAAAGAATATACATTACAGAGATACCAAGAAAGTAGAAAATGCTTGTTATCGCTATGGAATGAAAGGATATTGGTCTCGTAACTATCTTACGACCAAACATCTTGTTGATTTATATAAGTCTTCATTAAAGAAAAAACATAGAAATAAATTTTTCTCACCCCCATCAAGAAAAATATAGATTCACATCATGCTGTAAATAAATCCAATGATTAGTACTTAAAAGTGTATTTTTATCAAGGTTTTATATTATCGTTTTGCTTTTGAAGTATCAATAACTCCTTAACTAAAGTATGTTTTATAATAACAAATTTAATCATATAAGATACCTTTAATTTATGGTAAATGTTCATTTTAAATGAAGGCCTATCATATAATTCAACAAATTGATTGATGTGATTAATTATTGAAAGTGAAAGGATAAAGAAAAGGCTAAGTTTAGAAAAGAGATGCTGATTTAATTCAAATTAGAATACTATTTAGTTATTGGATTATATCTGGAGTTGTAGATCTTGGATTTTAGTTTGGTTTATATAGCTAGAAAGCTAAGACATAAGTCTAAAACATTTATGAGAATCCAACACTCAATTCTGTCATTTGGAAGTCCAAATCTTAACATCAAAAGAGAAGTCTGAATCTATCCTGCAGCCCAGATATTGTTTAGTGTTTAACCCATATCTCAAGTTCTAAAAGTTCAAATGCACCGATTCTTTTTTGTTAGAAAGCTTATACAATCTCTCAGAACTTTCATTAATACTATCTGTTTAAATTTTGATGCTATTAATGATGTTTTATTCAAACAAGAAGATAAGGATTATCACAAAGTCAATAAGAGGTAACCCACTCAACAATTAATCTTTAAATTTCCCACTCAACAATTAATCATTAAATTTATAGTTCTGAATTTTGGCCTATAAAATGAGGCATTTGTCATGCATTTGGGTATCTTGGTTTTTATATCAAGATCATGTTCTTTTTATAATGTTTAAGTTTTACTTTCATTAATCTCTTATTTATGTCTTTCATTTTCTTTACTATTCTTATACAATCATGTTCTCCTCTTATTTATTTATGTTTCTCTTTTTTATTATGTTTAGTTTAGTTTATTATGTCAATGTGAAAAAAGGTTTCACTAATGGTGTTAGAATAAGTATACTATAAACTCAATATGTACTTCAATGATTATATCATAAACAACTTACTATTAGCATGTCTTATCATTTTTATCTTATTAATTCTTAATACTTTACTTGTTAAATGATTAATCTAGATTTGTGTTATATAACACTTGGTACAATAAATACCTGACATTTTCATAGCCAACTATATGATATAACCTGCACCTATGCTATGAAAAGAACTTGATTTGTTGTTAACATAAGTTAGTATTATGAATTCCTGATAATATTTAAAAGTTTGATATTATTTAAATAAGATAATTAATATGATCATGTTACCAATTTATTATAAGCTATTAATGACAAATCATCCGATTAAGACTTTATGTGTGGTTTTTAGTTGAGTAATAAAAAGAGTTTATATTACAATTATTTTTATTACCATTAGTGGATCTTCTAACCTTAACATTTATTTTTATCATTATTTAATCCTTACATTAATCTTACATCTTAAAATCCTCTTTAACTTATTATTATTATTATTATTATTATTATTATTATAGTTAACCTCTTTATGGTTGTACTTCGGTCTTGTTAGGTTATTTATTACTTTGACACTCCTGCACTTGGGATAAAATATCAATCTTTTGGTCGTGTCAAGTTTTTGGCGCCATTGCCGGGGAGGTAAATTTCTGTATAAATTATAATATTTATTTTATTTTTTCTTTTTACTTTTCTTTTATCTAACTTCTTTTTCTTTTTTTTATTTTCTTTTTTTCTTTTCTTCCTTTTATTCTCTTCTTACACGTGCATGAGAGTTTGATCACATACATTAAGTGGTAAACTTTGTAGGGTATCCTCATTATTTTTCAGAAGATATGGCCGAAGACGATAACCAATCGTTTCATAATAAGAATAATGAGAGTAATCAAGTTAGAACACTTAGAGATCACATGAATCCAACAAGAATAAATGCACTCTCATGTTTAGTTTTCCTAAATTATACTAGCAAACATACAACTATACTTGGAGAAATCACCTAAATTTTAGTTGAAAGAGTGATAATAATAATGCATAAACTTCATAGCCACCGTTTTAAGGAAGTTTGTAAGTTTTTTCTTTCACCAAACTTACCAGCTTATGGTTTAAGTTTTTTCTTTCACCAAACTTACCAGCTCATGGTTTGAAAAATTTCCTTAAAAATTGTTGTTGCATTTCATCATAAGCACGAATGGATTCTAGTCTTAAATTTTATAGCCATGTTTTAGATTTATCTTTTAAAGAAAAAAAGAAAAAGCTTTAATCTAATGGTGTTCATGTTGTAATTTAAATTCTTATCGGTGTTACAGACTTCTCCAAATTTCCTTAAATGCAAGTATGAATTTTCTAGATCTAAACCATGAAAAGAAGGTAAAAATTGAATAATACATGGTTTTAAATTAAAATAAGATGCATAAAACAAACTCTTTCAAAAGACAAATCATTACATTCACTTAAAAGTTAGGGAAAATATTTCACCAATGTTGGGATAGGTATCAAGATTTGCTTAATACTTGCCCTCATTATGATTTTGAAAAATAGAGATTGATTTCATATTTTTATAAAGGGCTAACACCTAAAGATAGACAAATGGTGGAATTGATGTGCAATGGAACTTTTAAAGATAAAGACCCCGATGAAACAATAAAATACTTGGACTTGTTAGTTAAAAATGCTCAAAATTAGAATACCATAGGTTACATCTAGTGTAGGTATGTATAACCTTAGGAAAGATTATGACCTCTAAGCTAAATTTGTATATTTAGCTAGAAAAGTCGAGATATTAGAATTGAAAAAAAAAAAGGTGGTTAATTAAAATTTATTCAAGACATTGTGTGTCAAATCTGTGAAACCAATGAACATTCAACCAATGATTATACAACTTTTCCTTCTTTCAAGGAATACCTCCATGAACAAGCTTATGCTTTAAATAGTTTTCAAAGGCTCAATCATAACCCATACTCACAAACATACAACTATAGCTGGAGAAATCACCCAAATTTTAGTTGGAAGAGTGATAATAATAATGCATAAACTTCACAGCCACCGTTTTAAACACACTATAATTTCAAAAAATCTCATGGATATGCATCTTCTTATATTCCCCCTCCTAGAAGAAATCTTAAGAAAACTTTGTATATATTCAATAAAAAGCAAGAGACAATCAATACCCAACTTGCTCAAAGCATAACAGATTTTAAAATACTCTTGCAAAATTCACATATACTCTCAGTTTTTAGGAGAAATGTAAGTTTTTATCTCAATCACAATAAAATCCCAAAAGATAATACAATTTAAGTGCAAGAAGCTTCGGAAGCCAACACATGAATCAAGTTTAATTAGTCATTACTCTTCACAGTGATAAGTTTATTGAAAAACCAATTCTTGAACCTTGTAAGAAAGATAATGAGTCAATCTCTAAAGGTAAGGAAATGCTTAAACCTGAACATTGCAAAGAAAAAATTGATTCTCCACCAGTACTTTCATTTTTTCATGGCATGACCAAAAATTGATTCTCCACCAGTACTTCCATTTTTTCATGCCATGACAAAAAAAAAAGTTAACCACAATTCTGAAATCTTTAAAACTTTAAAACAAGAAGAAATCAAGGGCAAG